TATCGGTCGCCCCGCCGATGAGGATAGTGAAGAAATTTCTGCTGCTCTTTCGGAAAAATTCTTGAAGCCGCTCAAGAAGCAGGTCTCCGGTCTTATTCGACGCCAACGTGAAGAAATGCTCCATCCGGAGCTTGCATCCGACTACGCCTTCCCCGTCTTACCAGGCGTGTTGTCGGACCCCAATAATGACAAACGCAACCCCGTTCTCGAGCTTGTCAAGCTACTGATGCAGGTATTCAGTTTGTCGAAGACGACCACGATAGAGACACGGCTTCTGCGTCGCGAGCTGCTGGCCATGTTCGAGGTCCGAGAGTTTAGCAAGGAAGGGCGATTCGAAAACCCAGCTGCCAGCCTCAAACTTCCAGAGATAACCTGCGGTGCCTGCTGTCTGATTCGGGATCTGGATCTGTGTCGCGACGAAGATGTTCTCCCGGATGCTGGGACGGATCCCAGCAAAGCTATCAGCCAGCCATGGCGCTGTCCCTTCTGCCAGACCGAATATGATCGACTGGCTCAAGAAGAGATCCTCATCGGTCAAGTGCAGGGCTTCATTGTTGGATGGCAGACGCAAGATCTGAAGTGCTCGAAATGTGGAGGACTCAAGATCAGTGATTTCATGGAACACTGCTCGTGCAGTGGGACTTGGGTTGAAACGATGAACCGAGCAGATATTCAGAAGAAACTCCGGGTGTTGGAGAGCGTCGCTCAGTTCCACGGGTTGAAGCTGTTAGGGAGTGTGGTAGAGGGAGTTCTTGAACAAGTGTAAAAGAAGGCGATGATATGATCATTATTATTTATCTGGTGTTTGGGGGACTGGGAAGCGAAGCATCGTATATATCCATTGCTTTTATAATATATTTATATTTATATCTTATTTGTTTTTTGGATTAAATTGATTGATTTGATTAGGGTAAACAAGATTCGATAGTTTATTTAACTCGATTCTTGCCGCATCCGTGTCGATCCACTAAATCCATCCATCAACAAACCCCTCCTCTTTCTCTTTCGCTCTCACACACACACTATTCCTTTCCTCTCTTCTTTTTCTTCCTTCTCTTCTCTTTCTTATTCCTCTATCTTTTCATATTCTTTTCTCCCTCCTCTCCCTGCCAACTCCGATCTTCTTCCCATCCTTACCTCCCTCCCCTGGATCGTGGATCGATTCTCTCTCTTCAAACGAGACTCCCCGCATCCCACTCGTATCAGCTCCACCGTAAGAGGGAATAATCTGACTGAACACTTGTCAGATCCCTCTTCGTCGCCAATTTCATCGCTGGTGTGTGTCAATTTCACGATAATGTCCAACCTTCCTTTTTCACACCCAGATTGCGTTACGCTGTTGCCTATATCTGAGGATATCGAACTAACCGAACCGCGATCGCAACAGGCCCACGACTCCCACCACCTATCTCTATTTCGTTTCCTCGTCCTGAAAACGAACTCATCGCCCTATCTTCTACGGTGAACGCGAAAGTTTATCCCGGTGTCCTGAACATCGCAGCTCATGGCTTCCCCGGCGCAAAGTCAGCAGCGACCGAAGGTCCAGCCTTGCCGGTACAAAACCGGGAAGACCTTAGGAGCGGGCTCCTATTCGGTCGTCAAGGAATGTGTGCATATCGATACTGGTCAATATTATGCCGCTAAGGTGATCAACAAACGATTGATGGCGGGTCGGGAACATATGGTATTGCCCTTCTTTCCCACGGCGCTTAGAGGGGAACATGAAAGCTGACGTGAGAGTGGGATGGGGACAGGTTCGGAACGAGATCGCAGTGTTGAAGAGAGTGTCAATGGGCCATCAAAACATTCTGACACTGGTTGATTATTTCGAGACCATGAACAACTGTATTATTTACCCCCCCCCCCCCTCTCTCTCACACACACACACACTTCCCCCAAATCTCCGAAATGGATTTGAATCCCACCATGGCTGAAACCAAAGCTCCACTTACACAGTATACCTTGTCACCGACCTGGCTCTGGGGGGAGAACTCTTTGACCGTATTTGTCGCAAGGGGAGCTATTACGAAACCGACGCTGCGGACCTCATCCGCGCCATTTTATCCGCCGTTGCCTACCTGCATGATCACGGTATTGTACACCGTGACCTCAAACCGGAGAATCTCCTGTTTCGTACGCCAGAAGACAACGCCGATCTGTTGATCGCTGATTTCGGCCTATCGCGAATCATGGACGAGGAGCAATTCCACGTTCTGACCACCACCTGCGGAACGCCGGGGTACATGGCCCCCGAGATCTTCAAGAAGAGTGGCCATGCGAAGCCCGTGTATGTTTTCCCCCCCAACGTCCCCCCACCTGCCAAAGTCATAACTCCATCTAACCCGTATCACAGAGATATCTGGGCCATTGGCGTAATCACCTACTTCCTGCTTTGTGGGTACACGCCGTTCGACCGCGACTCCAATCTGGAGGAGATGCAAGCCATCCTAGCGGCCGACTACTCGTTCACGCCGCTCGAGTACTGGCGGGGGGTGTCGCAGAGTGCGCGCGACTTTATCAAGCGGTGTCTCACCGTCGACCCGGCCAAGCGCATGACCGCGCACGAAGCCCTGCAGCACGCTTGGGTCAACCCGCCGTACGACCAATCTGCCGATATGACCGGCACAGGCGAGGATCTGCTCCCCACTTTGAAGAAGAACTTCAACGCCCGACGCACCCTGCACAAGGCCATCGATACGGTGCGTGCGATCAACAAGCTGCGTGAGGGCGGCGGTCTCATGATGGACGGGATGATGAGCATCGATCCGAAACCGGAGCGTGTCAACGGGAACGATGTCATTGAGGAGCGTCCCTCGAATGATGGTGGGATGGAGATTGATAGTCGTGGTAATGCGCGGGGCCAGACAGAAGAGCAGATTCGGGAACAGGAGCGAAGGGTCAAGGAGATGGTTTCTGGGCTGTGGGGTCGGTCGGGGAAGAAATGAGCTATGATCGCTGAAGATTATATGAACGATACCAAATGATTATTTCTTTTTTTCCCTTTTGGAGACATGTGAAGAATTTCATCTTTATGTCTGGTATATCCACTCTGGTTGATGATGGGTTTTCGGTTGGTTTGGCCGATTCTATTTTTATAACTCATACTTTAGAGGTGCTTTTCTAGTTATCCTGTGGATTATTTTCGGGGTTTTTAGGGGGTTTTTTTTATATGATTTTTTTTTATGTAGATTAGAAACCCGAGAGGTGTAACCCGACTGCCAGGGGTATGAGGTGTGTGAGAATATATTCCAAGAACCGGGCAAACACCGTAACCTCCAATAGACACCTTTGTATCATTAACCAACCCAACCCATTATCATCATCATAAAGCGTGAATATTGCATATATCAGGGGGCCCGCAATTACGCCACGGGGGTCAGTAGCTTCTCACTACCATCCTCCAACGACAGGACCCACTGTCGCCATTCCTGCCACTCGGCATAGGAGGCCGAAGCCTTCAGACCCCGGTACTTCACCGATCGGAAGTCCGACACTTGCTCCCAAGGCTTGTTGGAAGTGGAGTTGCTGGATGCGCTGGCGCTGCCTCGGAGGAATCGCCTCGCGGCGCTTTCTGTGGCGCCTTCCCAACCCGCTTTGCTCATCAGGCTCTTGACTGTCTCCTCCTTGGTCCAGCCTTGCTCGACGGCGACGTCGGGGAGGTAGGTTGCGCCATAGCGTCTCCCGCGATGGATAAACGAGATTCGGATACCGTGGACTCCCAGGATCCAGTCCATGGCGTTGGTGCACGGTTCAAATGTCCCAAGAAGGGTTAGTGAGCATGAAAGAGAGGGTAGGAGTGAAGCCGGGATGGGGGAGAACCGGCTATCATCAAATGCACTGGGTGGGGTTTTTTTATATTAGTGCTTAGGGGGAAGAAAAGGGGGAAAGCTGGAAGGGGGGAGGGAGGTAGTAGGAGGTAGGCAGGTAGGGGAAACCGTGGGGCTATTAACGCGACGTACGAAGTAAGAGCATAGTCCTTCAACCCTGTTGATAGATCCTGGGCCTCGAAGGTGCCGATGCACCCGCGGAGGGATTTGTGGCCGTGCTTAGACAGGGTGTTCCACGTCACGAAGAGCGGGTACTGCTGCTGGTCCCTGTGTCGTTGGGGTCTGCCACCAGCCGGATCGGATTGAGAGCCGGGGGTGGTTATGGCGGTGGAACTGGATAGCACGGAGTGGGACGAATTATTAGACGCAATTGACGGCGTGGTAGACGAGCTCGTATCCGATGAGATCTGGCTTTGAAGTCGACTGACGCTGGGCGGCTGGAGAGCCCGTGGACGGTCCCGATCTGTCCTGTGGGTGTTGGCTTCCTCGTCTAGGTCGTCATTCTCCCCCAGAGAAACTGACTCATCGTTGTCCTGAAGGGCGGCGAGCTTCTTGAATTGCTCATATCTCTCCCATAGCAGTTCCACGTCCGTGAGAGCGATGGGGTCCTGGTCTTGGTAGGAGCTGGCCAGGCTCTCGAAACAATAGTAACAATGAGCTGGGCTGGCCATTTTTTTTTTGGTAGGTTTAACGCTCAATATCGCCCCGTGGGGTCAAAAAGTAAGATGTATTAGGTATATAGGGTGGCTGGCAACGACTAGTTATCTGCTGATGCGAGCAAATGACTTGGGTCTGATGAAGGATATGCCACGAGCAATTCTCAGAGATACACTACTAGGGGAGGGGAGAGAAAGAGAGTTCCTTGGGGCCAGTTTATCCGAGGGGTTAAACGGGGACCAGCAGCGTTGTATGTATAGTAGGTAGAAGTGAAGGTGGAAGTGGAGAGGGAAGAGGGAGAACGAGAGGAGGGGAAACAACGAGAGATAATCGGAGGCGGATAAGATAAGCGGAGTCAGGTGAGATGCTTATCGGGATCTCTGGCGAATGACGCCATGAAAGCTTCGGGTATCAGATATATAAGTAGTCGGTTTACTTTTGACTCTTTTTCTATAAAATAAAATGAAATGGAATGAAATAAAAAAGCTGTTTCAAAGGCAACGACAAAAAGTTAGAAGGTCGTGCCCGGAATCGAACCGGGATCTACGGAATCAGAATCCGACATCATAACCATTAGAACACACAACCGGAACATGATGTGGAGCTGGGGTTATTTGCCTAGAAAAAAGTAATGTAATTGCCAGCACAATCTGGCCATGGAGTATTTATGGACTCTAACAGGCGTTACTTACTGATTATTACACGCTGATACAATGGGAATTTCCCTAGTACTGGCGTGATCCAAGGCTATCAAGATACAACCCGGATAATATATGATAAATTCCATATAATTCGCGGTGTATTATAGTAATAAAGAACCGGAATATGATATGAAACCGGGATTGTCTAACTAGAGAAAAGTACCTCTATATAAGAGGCCGATGATACATTGGGAAGTTCTCGGGTACTGGCGAAATACAACTTGAGTATCCTAAGTATTAGGTAGGTAGGTACCTATACTCGCGGTGTATCATTATTAAAGTAATCCATTATGCACCGGGAAGAAAAACCCAGTGTTCGTTCTCCTTTTATTATAAAACTACCCCTTACTACCTACTTACTTATATTCAACTGAGATCTCTGTATGTAGCTTCTACAATCATAATACTACATACATACCTACATACCTCTCTAGTCTTAAAAACTTTGCCCTACCTCGGCCCTCCAACTCCAATTCAATACTCAACTGACATCATCCATGTATACCTAACCTATCCTTGTGGACGTCTCCCTGCCCTTCTTCTACTTATGATACCTCGAGCATCAGCTACATGTGAACATTTTGATGGCCGGACATGTGACTGGTTTGGGACTGCGCCTATCTGTGATGTTACAGACTTTGAGCTTGGCGACTGTACCTGGTTCGGCGAGAACATGTGCCTGGAGAGCTGGATCAAATATGTTGGGCCGAAAGAATTGAGAGACAATTATATGATTTCGAGGGACTGTTACAATGACTACGGCTTGGAGTGTTTCCAGGGGTACGTATGTACAAGAGGCTGTGGTGCGAGATGAAGTTAGGTAGTAGGTGACATCCTCGAGGGCTTTGCTTTGTTCCTGGATTGGACATTAATAATAATAATAGGTATTCAATCCACTTCGAACATATTAAAGCAATGAAAAAAAAAAACAAAAACAAAAAAAGAACAGGTCGTGCCCGGGATCGAACCGGGATCGGTGGAATCAGAATCCACAGTGATGACCATTACACTACACAACCAGCTGTGTTGAAATTCGGTATTTCTATATGAGATATAATCCAAAACAAAGATTTGGTTTGACCCAGAACGAGGTCGATTATTAGCAAGAGCTTGTGCCCATAAGCCCTCTAAACCATCTTTACGCCCACCACTAGTATCCATGCAAGAGACAGAATGTTTTTCAAGAACTAGTTGCAGATTTTAGACACGACAGTGGCCACAATCCAAGAGTAGTAATTTACAAATACCCAGCCCATCAAGTCGTGAACCAAACGAGAAATATGAGAGAAATCAGCGCAAAATCAACCCAACAACGCCGCGACAAATAGACGCCCTTCGGTACCAAGACACGGTGCTTTTAAACCTTCTTCTTCTTTTTGGATGGCTCGGCGTCGGAATCGTGCTTCCGCTTCTTCTTCTTATCCTCCTTTTCGCCCTTCTCCTTCTTCTCCTTCTTCTCGCTCTTCTCCTTCTTCTTCTCCTTCTTCTCCTTCTTCTCCTTCTTCTCCTTCTTAGGAGTCTTAACCTCGGCATCCTCCATCTCCTCGTCGCTCTGGTCATCATCACCGTCCATACCAGCCAGGACAGCATCCATAGCGTCCTTCTGTAGCGGAAGTTAGCATTTTCGCTCATTATAGTTCGAGACCAACATACCATAGCAATTTCATTCTTGGTGGGAGCGGCGCCAGTGGAGTAGAACTCCAGACGCTCCTCAACCTGCTTCTTGAGGACCTCACCAAACTTGGTAGTAGGCTCCTCGGAGAAGTTATCGATTCTCGAAGCGATAGAGCACTTGTTGGCGAGGAATCGCGAGATACGGCCCTTGTTCTTGGGGCCAGCACGGCCGATGAAAGACGAATGGTAGAGAAGACCATACTTGGGGGTGTTACCCTTGGTCTTCAAGGCACGGAAGAGGGCCTTCTCGGCACCGAGAATCTGGACAGTAGACGCGGGATACTTCGACAAGTTGGTCAAGCTACCGGCGTGGGAGATCAGACGAGCACCGACGATCTCTCCGATAAGCGCGGCAAGATTAGGAGCAACAACGCTCATCTTGGACACCAGGTAGGTGTGCAGGTTCTTGCGGTACTTGGAAAGGCTGACGACTCGCTGGGCAAAAGCGATGACATTTTCCATGTCAGTCTCAGAGATTTCCTGACCCATACTGTGCTTGGCCGCATCAATGACGGACTGGGCGACACCCTGGTCATCCTCCACAAGGGCGGCAAGATCGTGAAGCTTGTCATCGGTCAGTTCTGCCTTATCCTGGACGAACAAGGCAACTTGGGCGTAGCGTTGGTTGTCCGACACGATCTTGACCAGCTCAGGGAAATGCCACGAGTACCATTCCCGGACACGCATGGAGAAAGTGTTGATAGCCTTGTCAAGCTGATCGAGAATGGCAATCGCCTGGATGATATGGTTATCGTCACGCTGGACAGAGAACTTGACCTTGGATCGGGAGTAAGCGTGACCAAGACCGAGCTGGGCGGTGTCCATGTCACCCTCACGGAGCTGCTTCAGCAACTTGGAGGCATGGAGACGAAGTCCACGAAGCATATCCTGGACGACCTCGCTGGTGTCTCCGGTTTCACAGTCGACAAAATCGAAGGCAGACTTGATGCTACTGGCCAAGGCCTTGTCCAAAACTCCCAGAACAACCTTCTTCTTCTTGTTGGGTTTAGGGAGATTCAACTCGAGGAAAGAAATAAGAGTGTCGGAAGCGACACCCTCCGAAACGTCGTTGATTTCGCTCAGGGCCTGCTTGTTGTTCCTGGGTCTGGTCAGTCTCTGGGAAAAGTGCGATTTGGGATACTCCCCCGAAAAAAGGAAAAGACAAAAACATACTCAAAAGGCACAAAACTGGCGAGATCAACCATCTTTCCGAACTTGGCAAGATCGTTAACACCCTCCTGAACCTCCTTCAAGCGGTTTCCAACGCTGTCACCCTGATGAGCGACATTGAAAAGAGCGTAGCCCACAGGGCCTTCGAAAAGCAAAAAGTCGGCCATGACGGATCAGGACGGGGATAAAGGTCGGGAAAAAAAAATTCTATCGACGAGGGCCCTTCAATTACAAGCGATCGAGCCTTCTACCCAAGTATATAAAGGACTGCGACAGTGGGCTTGCCGTGGAGCGGATTGGGGGTGGAAAAAAATGGGCTGGAAGCAGAATTAGAGGGTCGAGCCGCCGAGCTCTTTTTTTTCGCGGTCGGCGCTAGTGCGGCGACCGAATGTGGGCTTTTTGCCAAATCTGCCGCCTCACCGCCTCGAGTCCGGCAAACACCACAAGAGGAATAATTGTGCTAGTGCGGGCTACCTCGACTTGCGCCAAACGCTTCTCTCCAGCTTCCTCTTTCTACGAGGATCCCCCACCCGAAATCTCCTATCCGTTGTCAGTCGGTGCTGCAGAAAAATGTCTGCAACGCAATTGCTCAATCCCAAGGCCGAGTCACGGGTACGAACATGAACTATCCTCCCCCCCAAACAGCCCCTCAGTGCCCACATTGTTAACATTGCACAGCGGAGAGCGGAAGCCTTGAAGGTCAACATCAGTGCCGGTGAAGGTCTTCAAGATGTGCTGAAGTCCAACCTGGGCCCCTCGGGGACCTTGAAAATGTATGTATTCATCGATCGACGATAAAAGACGCAATTAAAGCTGACAAATATCAGGCTGGTTGACGGTGCTGGTGGAGTATGATATACACATCCCCCCCCCCTGAACTGCAGGATATGCCTCTAACGATATTTCAATCTAGATCAAACTGACTAAAGATGGGAACGTTCTCTTGCGGGAAATGGTTAGTTATTGCTATTCTAGACTCGGAAGTTCCCAAGCTAACAAGTTGTGCAGCAAATCCAAAACCCGACGGCCGTAAGCTACCTTGCCTCCGAGACCATGGACAAACCCCCCCCAAACTGACTGGGATATTTCACAAGGTTATGATTGCACGGGCTGCAACGGCACAAGACGATATCACGGGTGATGGAACCACCTCCGTTGTTTTGTTGGTGGGAGAACTCCTGAAGCAGGCAGACCGTTACATCTCCGAGGGCCTGCACCCTCGTGTGCTCACCGATGGCTATGAGATCGCAAAGAACGAGACACTTAAGGTTAGAGCATCATACCGGGAGCCACTCTGCAGCAGGTATCTGACATAGGGTTGTCTTTTATAGTTCCTCGACCAGTTTAAGCTCGAACGCACAATCGACCGTGAACTACTCCTTTCCGTTGCTCGGACATCGCTCAGTACAAAGCTCAACAATGCTCTTGCTGAGAAACTCACTCCTGACATCGTCGACGCCGTCCTGGCTATTCACAGAGCTCCTGAGAAGCCCGATCTGCACATGGTTGAAATCATGGCCATGCAACACCGTACATCCTCCGACACTAGACTCATCCGTGGACTTGCTCTGGATCACGGTGCCAGACATCCTGATATGCCTAAGCGGGTGGAGAACGCGTTTATCTTGACACTGAACGTCAGTCTGGAATACGAAAAGTCCGAAATCAACTCCGGTTTCTACTATTCGACTGCTGAGCAGAGGGATAAGCTGGTGGAGAGCGAGCGCAAGTTCGTGGATGCCAAATTGCAAAAAATCGTGGATCTCAAGAAGGAGGTCTGCGGCAATGACCCCAAGAAGGGATTCGTCGTTATTAATCAGAAGGGTATTGACCCCCTGAGCTTGGATGTTCTCACCAAAAATGGCATTTTGGCTCTTCGGAGAGCTAAGCGCAGAAACATGGAACGTCTCCAGCTTATCTGTGGCGGTATTGCCCAGAACAGCGTTGAAGATATGACTCCTGATGTTCTCGGGTGGGCCGGACTGGTCTACGAGCACCAGCTTGGCGAGGAGAAGTACACTTTTGTCGAGGAAGTCAAGGACC